ATATGCATTATTTCGCTTTTAAAACGAAAGTATGCATATGCATACTTTCGGTATTTTCTCATATGCATTATTTCGGCTTTCAACCGACACTGTGCATATATGCATTACTTCGGGTTTTCATATGCGTTATTTCGGTTTTCAACCGAAACTGTGCATGCATGCATTATTTCGGTTTTTGTTATATGCATTATTTCGGTTTTCAACCGAAACTGTGCATGCATGCATTATTTCGGTTTTTGTTATATGCATTATTTCGGTTTTCAACCGAAACTGTGCATGCATGCATTATTTCGGTTTTTGTTATATGCATTATTTCGGTTTTCAACCGAAACTGTGCATGTATGCATACCTTCGTCTTTCACATATGTATTATTTCGGTTTTCATCCGAAACTGTGCATGTATGCTTTATTTCAGTGTTTGCCATATGCATTATTTCGGTTTTGAACCGAAATTGTGGATGCATGCATTATTTCGGTTTTTGTTATATGCATTATTTCGGTTTTCTAACGAAAGTGTGCATATGGATAATTTCGTTTTTTCTAATATGAATTATTTACTAGTTTTTGTTGCTTCCGATCGGTTTGGATATGTTACAGAATTTTCTTGATAGGCTAGTCCGATCTAATTATCTTTAGTGCAAATAAAACAAGTTTATTCCACTATTACAGCCCAACGTTTCGCTAAACTTATTAGCATCATCAGGGGCGCATTTGTTTATTTTTGTCTGTTACAGCAATAAATACAAAATATAAAAAAAAGAACATTAAAAGCAGAGAAACACAAACAAGTACATACATACATGTACGTATTCACATATAAATATAGTTGGATGACAATAACATATGTAAACAAACAATTCTAACTCGATGCAAGACAATACTCACAGTATTAACACTTAAACATTTCTAAATCTTAATTGCTAAATATCCAATACCATCTTGTGTGGTAGTTTAGTCAAGACTGAAAACTTTTAAATTAATTTTGTAAACATAAGATATAAGCCGCGGCAATGTCATCGGTATCTTCCTTTTTATTTATTGTTTTTTCTCTTTTCTCCATTATTCTCAGACTTTCCAGCGTGTACCTAGTCTTTTCCCTTTTCTCTTGGTCTATTATTATAGTGTTTTTAAAATCAGCTGTGTGTCCNTTACTTCGTTTTTCTCATATGCGTTATTTCGGTTTGAAACGAAAGTGTGCATGTATGCATTATTTCGGTTTTTTCATATGGATTATTTCGGTTTTCAACCGAAACTGTGCATATATGCATTATTTCGGTTTTTTCATATGCATTATTTCGGTTTTCAAGCGAAACTGTGCATATATGTATTTTTTCGGTTTTTTTCGTATGCATTATTTCGGTCTTTTTCATATGCATTATTTCGGTTTTCAAGCGAAACTGTGCATATATGTATTTTTTCGGTTTTTTTCGTATGCATTATTTCGGTCTTTTTCATATGCATTATTTCGTATGCACAATTTCCGGGTGCCGGTTTTACGCTGTTCTTTCAAATGACCATAGATATTAAGGATGTTGCGAATATTTCCATTTTTGGAGGAATTCATTAGGAATGTTAATCCCGGTATCCCGGGATCCCCGTCTTTTTTAAGTCTCGAAAATCCCGGGATTATTTGCCTGGAATCCCAGGATTTTCAGGATTTGTAAATTACATTGGTGGCAATAATAGAAACGCTTTATGTTGAACAGTTTTTGCTATATTTCCTTTGGTTATTTAATATTTAACATTTTTGCACACAAAAAAATCAATATATTAGCCAAACCAAGGGCCAAATATAATAAAATTGCGTTCTTAATTTTTCTCTCTGATGTAAGGATTTTTTAAAAGAACTTTGAAATTTGAAAGATATGAGTAACTCAAAAAATTAATTAAAAATTTCAGTGCAATATACTTAAAAAACCAGTATCGGTTTCAAATGAAAGAGAAGATTCTGTAGAGTTAAAACACATTACATTTTTTGGTGCGTAAGGGACGGGTAGGTATTGAAAATACCCTTTTATAATTTTATCCTCGAATATCCTTGAAATTTTTAAATTCTTATTTTGGAAAAAGTTCACACAACTAAGGAGTAAGTTATTAGCTTAAACATATAAAATAGATTAAAGGCGCATTTTCAATTCCTATTCGTCCTTCTAACGTAAAAAAATTATTTCATTTGGTAGCCATACTTTTGTTTTACATTGCACTGAATTTTTTTAAATTATTTTTGAAATTAACCATATCTTTGAAATTATAACGAGCCCTAACCGCCAAAATAACGTAACTGATATTTTTTTTAAATTTTCGTTTTGATGCAGAAATGCATCTAGATGCCCTAGGAATCCCGGGATCTCGGGATTGAAACAACGACATCCCGAAAATCCCGGGATCATAAAAATCGAAAAAATTAACATGCCTAGTATGCATATATGTTAGATATGTATGTGTATTCCGCTACTTTAAGCATGTCATACCATCAGAAAACAAACAAGTATGTTTCTTTACAACGAAATCGAACTAATAATTAAATATAATTAAAAAATCAAAAATAATCAAAAGTAATCACCAAATTTAATCAACTACTTTTTTGATTATTTTTGATTATTATTGATTATTTTTTTAATGACAAATAATCATGACTGTTTTTGATTAATTCTAATTAAAATTGATTACTTATTCCTCCGTTAAAAACACTAATTGAATTATCCATTACGATTACTGAACCTATGTAATCGTTTTGATTAGTAATCGTAATCCAAAGTTAACAGGTTTGGATAAAACTTATACAGCTTAGATTTCGTCGAGTAGACTTTTTATTATTATTTATAAAATTTCTGACGAAATTTATCGGTTTTGGTTGTCCAAATAAAGGAGTTCTACAGTAAAACCCCATATCCGAACAATCAGTTGTATGGAGGCAATAAATAGGCTATCGGGATCTTTGTTCATTTTACTGTAAACTTTCTGTTGATAATGAATGAAAATAGTGTGAAATTTCATGTTTCTAGCTGCATTAATGGAGAAGTTATAACGAAAAATCTCATATCTAAACAATCAGTTGTATGGGAGCTATATTTTATTTATTGTTTATTTATTTCAATTACGGTACAGATCTAACACAACAACCAGGCGGTTTTACTTTCAAGTGTTAGATGTTAGGATTACATGGCTAAGCACAAATGCATTTAATAATTTTAACTAGTTACTTACTTGCTATTTGAAAATGAAGAGTCGCATTAATTATAAGACATATATAAGACAAGATATAGTTGAGAGGAAAATTGTAGAAAGAGGCTAGGTATTTGAGAATAGAATAAGACAAATGACAGGAATAAGGTAGGAAAATGACAAAAGACAAAAAACTGCGATCAATTGGTCCCCGCCTGAGCAAAATGTCGATGCAATTCTCTCTTAAAGGGTAGAGCGCTCCTATATGTTATAGTGGTCCGATTTTTCCGAACCTGCCACTTGAATGAACTATGCCTCCATATGTAGTTGTTCTTGATAACAAGCTTAAGCAAAATTAAAGGTACTTGAAAACCAAGGATATTATAAGACCAGGGCAACCCTCAATAATAATGTGTAATACATTCCGAGTCGCCATACGCAAACAGCGACTTTTCAACTAACACAATGGGCCATATGCATAATAACTAAGCAATTGCTTTTTCTTAAAATTTCATACCTTTCACTTAATTTTATTTGAACTTCTTATTTTCCACAGATTTTTATCAATGATGAAGGTATCCCAACTTCATGCGAAAACATACTTGTGTCCTCTTATCTAGATAAAGAAGAATCATCCAATAAATTTCCGAAAGTTTCCAATTGCCAAACAAATGAACAATCAAGGAGAATAATGAATTACAATCCCGATCTAACTACAAATACTATTACAAAATTGACTACGAAATGCCTTTCGCCCGTACTAATCAACAGCAACGAAAACGAAAAAAAAGGCGGAAATGCATACTCACCAAGGCCAAATGTTATCGTTGAACATCTAGTGCAACCATCTGGTTACGTCACAGCCTCTTCAATGGCAACCACAACCGCCACAACACTTATGACACACACCACTGATTTTGGCAACTACGGTACTATTTTCAATGCACAACAACACCAGAATCAGCAAATTATGGCAATTGACAACATTCGACCATATATCGATGGTATTGAAGAAGCCTTTCAGTATCTGCGTAGCATGGATAACAATCGTGAAGATATACTAGATAATTTCCTGGACATTTCTGTGAGCGACTACTAGTATCTATTACTCGAATACCTACCTACTTAAAAGAAACAAACTATTTAATTAGAGCATAAATTTGAATTAAATATGGATGAACATTTGATTTATTGATGAAGGTAATAAATGAAATAAAAAAAGTGCAAATATTCAAGTAGTTCGTTGCCTTATTCATGTTGAATACAATTTAAAAATATACATACACATACATGTATAATACTTTATTCTATATTTCTTTATTACAAAGTACAAGTTCAATACCAAAATCGAAGAAGAATGTGCTGGAACCAAAAACTTGTCAAATTAGTTGTATTTATATCTATATCAGCGTGATGTTAGCTGACGTGTGTAGCTAAAAATGCAAAAAATTATATGACTTTCTTTCAGATCAGTAATGCCACCTGAATGTATTTATATGCAAAAGTATACCACCAACTTTCCATACGAAGCCTCGAAAAAAAGTAGTTCTTTCCATGCCACAGATCGTTTTTTGCTGCCAACTCATCTTTAGGACCATAGACTAGTTTGAGTCGATCAACAGACACTGTAACATGATTCGGTCCGATGAGTATAGTGTACGTCTTCGATGCTTGTGTACCGGCTTTTGGACACTAATAAACGTAAGTTCTAGGGTATGTAAACTGCAGGCCTTCTGTGCTGTGAAGTTTGCACCGGGTTCATGTTTTCGGAATGTTGTCGTAGTTCTCTCAAAAAACTTCATGGATCGCCATGTACAATTAACAACGCAAATGATTACTTTGCTAGTTCAATAATTACTGATTTTTGTATTTACTTAAATCTATGATAACTAAAAAGTTGGGTGCGCTCTAAAACCTAGTGTTGGACAATGCGATCACTTACACACTATTTTACACTACAGCATAGTGAAACCGGTCAAAATGATTTGAAATTAGAGAAGACTCGGAACTTAATCATTATTAGGCATTTATATGAGAAAAATAGGCTAATTACCAGAGAACGGGTTTTTAAGGAAAATAAAATAGGGAAAATAAAATAGCGAAAAGAAGGAAATGGCACTAGAAATCGCGAAAAGGGCAAAAGAAGACACTAATCAAAGACCGAAACCGAAAAATAATCAAGAAATACATTTATTTTAGAAATGTTTATATTACAAGGAAAAGAGAAAAACTATGAAAAATTTGTACTTTGAATCTTTGACTATTTTCTCCATTCGAGTTTTTAACTCACAAAACTTTAATCTCAAGGGGCGCCCAATTTAAACGTGAAACGCTTGAAACTTCCATATTATCAGGAATAAGGACTTTTTTTTGGAGTGCAATGGGGTATAGTCATTGCGCTGGGTATGCAGTTACAGTTGCCTGGCTATACTCAATCCCGACTCTTGCGTCCTCGTCCGTGCACTCTGGGAAACGTGAGCAACCCATTTGCAAGATGCGGTAACCAATCCGAGTGGAGCCTTGGGTCACGGCGGAAAGGGAGAGAGCTTCGGTGGGGCGACTCCGACTTATTCGGTTTAAGGGCTCACTGAAGTCTGCAGCGTCTGTTCACCAGTAGGTGCGGCTGCAAGCGGGTGTCTGCTTGGAGCAAGCGGCTCGATATATATAAACGTGTATTTGGCAGCGAATCCACCCCCGTCCGAGAAATGGGTTGCTCGCTGGGTTTGGACCTGCCACGTAAAAACCACTTCCAGTGAAGAAGCAAGGTAAAGCCTCGGATGAGACGACCACGGCAAACGTTTAAAGGACAACGATTTGAGGGCCCTTAATGAGGAAGGTGCCTCTGCCCGGCTGGTTGATGTCCTCGTAAGGACAAAAGCTGACATCACCGCCATCCAAGAAATGCGTTGGACGGGGCACGGCAAGCAATGTCTGGGGCCTTGCGACATCTACTACAGCTGCCATGTAAAGGAGCGCCAATTCGGTGTTGGATTTGTGGTAGGAGAGAGACTCCGTCGTCGAGTACTGTCATTCGCCCGGGTGGACGAGTGTCTAGCCATAATCCGCATCAAAGCGAAATTCTTCAACATCTCGCTCATCTGCGCCCATGCTTGGAGCGCACGTACTAGCGTTGCCCCCGCCACGATATCAAAATCGTGCTTGGCGGCTTCAATTCCTGGGTGGGTAAGGAAGCGACCTTTTGAACCACGTTTGGAAAATTCAGCCTCCACGATGAAACGTCTGACAACGGACTGAGGCTGATCAATTTCGATAGGGCCTGAAACATGGTAGTATGCAGTACTTAGTTCAAGCATAAAAAGATTCAGCAAGCTACATGGCTGTCTCCGGATCGAAAAACGAGAATCCAAATCGATCATGTTGTGATAGACGGAAGGCACGCTTCCAGTGTTTTAGACGTACGCACACTCCGAGGCCCAAACATCGACTCGGACCACTATCTTGTTGCAGCAAAGACACGCACCCGCCTCTGTGCAGCAAAAAATGTGCGCCCAAATATGCAAGGAAAGCTTAACGTCGAAAAGCTGCAATCACAACAGACAGCCAGCGCTTTCGCTACTCGACTCTCACACCTGCTCTCAGAGAGCACTCTTCAACAAACCGACATATGCGAGCAGTGGAACCACATTTCCCGCTCATTAAGTACCGCCGCCGAAGAAGTAGTCGGATTTCAGCGAGCCCGAAAGAACAACTGGTACGATGAGGAGTGTCAGGAAGCTGCAGAGAAAAAAGATGCCGCCTACAGGGCCACGCTGCGATCGGGCGCAACGCGCGCTATGTGGGACCGCTATAGGGATCTGAAGAGGGAAGCAAGACGTATTTTCCGCAATAAGAAGAGAGAGACCGAAATACGTAAGCGCAAAGAGCTTGAAATGCTGGTTGACAGGAAGAATGGCCAAAAAATTTTCCAGAGAGTTAGGCGACTTGCGGAAGGTTTCAAGTCCAGGGCGTACTCCTGTAAGAACAAAAATGGCAACCTAGTAACAGATGTTCAGAGCGTACTTATATTATGGAGGGAAAACTTTTCCGCCCTACTGAATGGTAGCAGCACGGAAAGTTCTGGAGAAGAAGAACCCGAGCCCGCAGTCGATGATGACGGAGTCGACGTTCCACCGCCTGACTATGACGAGGTACGTATAGCAATAACGCGGCTGAAAAACAACAAAGCCGCTGGAGCTGACAGCCTGCCAGCTGAGCTATTCAAGTACGGCGGCGAGGAGTTGATAAGGTGCATGCATCAACTCTTGTGCAGAATATGGTCAGATGAACGCATGCCCGACGACTGGAATTTAAGTGTGCTCTGCCCAATCCACAAGAAAGGTGACCCCGCCATTCGCGCCAACTACCGCGGGATCAGCCTTCTAAGCATAGGTTACAAGGTCTTATCGAGCGTATTGTGCGAAAGACTGAAGCCCACCGTCAATGAACTGATTGGGCCTTATCAGTGTGGCTTTAGACCTGGCAAATCCACCATAGACCAGGTATTCACAATACGCCAAATCTTGGAAAAGACCCGCGAGAAAAGGATCGACACTCACCACCTATTTGTCGACTTTAAAGCCGCTTTTGACAGCACTAAAAGGAGTTGCCTATACGCCGCTATGTCTGAATTTGGCATCCCCTCAAAACTCATACGGCTGTGTAAAATGACGTTGAGCAATACCACCAGCTCCGTCAGAATTGGAAAAGACCTCTCCGAGCCGTTCGCCACAAAACGGGGTTTCAGACAGGGCGACTCCCTTTCATGTGACTTCTTTAATCTGATGTTGGAGAAGATAATAAGAGCTGCAGAACTGAACCGCTCAGGAACAATTTACTACAAGAGCGTGGCTTATTCCGATGACATTGACATCATCGGTAGGAAAAGCCGCGAAGCCTGTTCTGCCTTTTCTAAATTGGATAAGGAAGCAAAGCGAATGGGTCTGGTGGTAAACGAGAACAAGGTGAAGTATCTCCTGTCATCAAACAAACAATGAGCACAATCGCGCCATGGCACCCACGTCACTGTTGATAGTTACAATTTCGAGAAAGCAGAGAATTTCGATTACTTGGGAACCAGCATTAACACCGTAATAATATCTGCATGGAAACCCAAAGCAGAATCACTCTTGCCAACAAGTGCTACTTTGGACTGAGTAGTCCGAGATCGGCGCAACCTTTGTATTCTCTCAATCGTGGGGCCATGCTGCGATAGGGCGCAACGCGCGCTATGTGGGACCGCTATAGGGATCTGAAGAGGGAAGCAAGACGTATTTTCCGCAATAAGAAGAGAGAGACCGAAATACGTAAGCGCAAAGAGCTTGAAATGCTGGTTGACAGGAAGAATGGCCAAAAAATTTTCCAGAGAGTTAGGCGACTTGCGGAAGGTTTCAAGTCCAGGGCGTACTCCTGTAAGAACAAAAATGGCAACCTAGTAACAGATGTTCAGAGCGTACTTATATTATGGAGGGAAAACTTTTCCGCCCTACTGAATGGTAGCAGCACGGAAAGTTTGGAGAAGAAGAACCCGAGCCCGCAGTCGATGATGACGTTCCACCGCCTGACTATGACGAGGTACGAATAGCAATAACGCGGCTGAAAAACAACAAACTGCTGGAGCTGACAGCCTGCCAGCTGAGCTATTCAAGTACGGTGGCGGGGAGTTGATAAGG